AGGAAACTAATCAATGACACGTTTTACGTCTGGCGCTAGCAATTCGGAATTTGAAATTTCTGACGATTATTCGGATGCTGGTTCAGTCTCTCGGGAAAGTTCGCTTTCGGATGACAGTTACAATGAAAGTGTACCTATAAGTTGGGCCTCTCCCTGAGAGAATGAAAATTAACACGAAGGCATATTCTAACACTAGAGTCGGGAATACAGTGGTGAGTGTTTTTATTATTCTTTAATGCCGGAATGGTGCTTTTAATTTCAATGTGTTAAGATTTTATTGGGTAACTAAATGATTATTACTTGAGCCAAGATGCCGATCATATTGATGTGAAACCCAAAGTTAACTGGAAAAGAGTGCATTCCTTTTCTCGTCCAAGTTTCTCTGTTTTGCATCTGTACTTCCCCAGACTAGAGATCTGCTGCACTAGGAGCATTTGCGCTGTTAAATTGAATTTTAGTTCGGGTTCATAGTCGGAAAGATTAATCAGCACCGTTCCCCATCGTAGCTCAAACTGCACTCTGTTAACCTCCCCCCCCCCCAAAAAAAAAATGTTGTGTAGGACTTATAGCCCTAGGTCGGAGATCAGGAAGTGCTTCCGCACGATGAAAATACTAAAATATATATTGGAAGGTGTAATTTTTATTTACCAGTGTCATTGCTTATTACAGGTGTGAATGTGGTCATTGTTCAGCTATGACTACAGAGGCAGAAAGTCGCTGCTGCCATGAAATTCTAGAGGTGAAAAACGGCGGAGGAGGGCGGTGTTGATTGCATTATCATGCACCCAGGATTTGGGCATGGCTGCTTGAATCCACATGCCTTGGAAATTGCACATTTACACCACAGGCAACAATATGGTACAATTCCTGAATCTCATGGAGCAAATCAGGCCGAGTAAGAATTCATGTTCTGAAATAACATTCTTTCAGAAAGCATCGTTACATTGCTTATCGCCAAGTGGTGCGGTGGTGCTGGGGCTATTTGGGTAAGCACCGCAGGGTCCCAATTCCTGCTTGTGCAGTGACCAAAATAAGAAAGTTTCACAACCAATGGCCATTACATGGGTTTCAGATTGCCCAACTTGAAATAAAAGCAAGAAAACTCATGGCAGCTTTAATGATCTGAAGTTTATTGTTTTTTACACTGACTTATGCTGGATAACATGTTACAAGAGGCTTCCTTTGTACTCAATTCGTAAAAATGTAAAGAACTAGTAAATTGAAGACCTTTTTTTGGTAATGTTTATACAGTTAAATATGTGCATGTACATGTAGATTCTTTTTCAGACCTATTTTTATGAATTTTGAGATTTAAATGTGGCTTCTCTTGAGCACAAAAGTTCATATGTATTGAATGAGTTGAAAAAATAAGTACTTGCTGAAGTATGCTCATAATTACCAAGACAACTTTGCTGCTCACTTTATATTATACAGTAGGTACACTAACAAGGCAGCAAAGCTGTCAAATGTACAGACAAAAAACAGGAAATAACTATGCACAAAATAGGCTACTGTCAATTCTGATGCAAAAGTATATTATGTTAAACTGCAAATTATACATCAAATTTTAATGATTGAATCTGACAAACTGCAATGATATGAGTTTATTTCCATTTTAAAAGTTTATTACACAATACACGATAATAAGTTTACCATCATTTTTACATAATCAACTAATAATGTTGTAAAGATGCAGGAAATGCCAAACAAACACTTTTACGTATCTTATTAATTAAATAATGAAACTGTAAACATGCCTAAGAATAAATCTGAGGAAATGTGAAAAAACGGCATTTCTTTAATGGTCCGATTATGCTGATTTTTTAACTCAACCTGCACTTTAGCAGGAATGACCACTCCTGTGAGTTTAATGACAACAGGCCTATCAGTTTTCCTTTAAATGTGTTTACAGTGTTGCATATATGCTGAAAAGTGAAAAAACAGCATAACTTCTACAAAAATGGCCCGATCATGCTGATTTTCGAACTTGACCTGCGTTTTATGAATATTCATCAGCTCTGTAAATACATAGCCAAAAAGTAAAACTGCCTTCCACATATCGTGTTTACAATGAAAGTGCACGGCGCTGGCAACAGTGACAGTGACGGCGACGACGGCAGATGCAGGTGATGGCAATATGTACAGACACATTTGTATATATTTACTGTNGTAAGACCTGTTACTCTAATAAACTCTTACCACAAATCTTACAAACTAACACTTAGTCCAAAGGCACAAAAAAAAAAAAAAAAAAAAAAAAAAAAAATCTACCCACCTGCTCTGAAAACACCTTATGATGCTCACTGGGCTCCAACAAGAACACGTTAGCAGTATTGGTGATAAGAACCTGCAGTGTATTCTGTAAACCTGCACACACGCTGGCTTCCAGATCAGGCGTGGAAGAGAAGATGGCGCCAAGGTAGGAGTCGTTTCTTTTCCGCATACCAGGTTGGGGCTCAGGTTGGAGAAAAGATGGTGGAGGTGATGTGGAGGAGTTTTCCTTCAAAAAGAACGTAGGTTTTTAAATCAAATAATTTTTACTGATGCACTTTAAGAAAACATTCAGTGAAATTCTTAAATAAAAGCAGCAATTCTAAACATAGACATAAGCTAACTTTTCAAGATGATTCAAATAAAAGCAACTATTCACATTCACCTAACAAAACTATATAAATCTACTTTCAATTCCTCCTGGGACTTCAAAATGAAACTTTAACATAAGATATCTCCACTGACAACTTTATCATTATACCTCTGATGAGCTCTCTTCAGATATATTTCCCAACTTTCCATTGCCACTTTCTCTTCTGTTGTAGATTCCCCTTGCAGAATCATTTGGTTCTTTCATGAATACGGGTCTGTCTGCTTCATTCTAAAAATGTAGATTGTAATCATAACCAAAGGTTCTAGCAAGCTGATTATGCAAAACTGCAGTCTAAAGGCCTTTAAAGTGCTAAAACCTTTCAACATGTTGTTGCTTTACAACTTGCCAAATGCTGTATGGAATACATGGGAGCAGACAAACTGTAAGGTAAAGCTTGTTGGTTTTTCATCTTTTTCCAAATCTAGTCCACAATAATCACATCATTGCAAGTAACTCTCATCAGGCTATTAAAAGCATTTTCAGGCACTGAAATCATTCTATCAAATATCAATCTGATGTAAAATGTTAAGAAACACGTAAAAAAATAGTTTCTCTATCTTTTAACCTGTTTACATGTTAATGAAAAAACTTACATGTATAATTTAACAACAGCCAAGCTTACCTGCAGCCAGTCCTTATAAACTGCCAAAACCTTCTTTATAGCTCCACTATGGTAAAAAGGCAACAACAGTGCCTGTCTAAACACTTCATGAACAAGATTGACATTCTCCTGCGTGGAAAACAAAACGCTGCGGACAATCTCAAACTCAGTCAACAACTGTCCTTCATCCTCGTCGTCACTTGATTTAGTTGAGGCAGCATCCCCGTGGGAAGCGGAGGTCAGGGTATTGGTGCTGCTCTCTGGTGGGATGGAGCTGTCTTCAGGCCGAAGCGTCTCCTCTCCGCTGTTACCATCTCCCTCATCTGGCTCTTGCTCTGGGGGGTGCTGCAGGACTTCCGCCGGTCTGTAATGACAACAGTTCACACAACACAAGTCTCCAACTGTTCCCAGGAAATAGACTTTAAGATAATGGGATGAAAATAACTACAAACCATTACAGATTAATGGTTTTGTTCAATATATAAATATGTATGATTCTTTTTAATTGTTTTCCATCTTATCTTACTCTGATTTTTTTGTTTCCTGTTTCTTTGGCAAATGTACAAAGGTAGTGATCCATTTGATGACCACCTCCTGACAGAGAGACAGAGCATCAGGGCGTATTGTGGGTGGGCCCCTGGGGTCAGGATTGGGGCGTAACACAGGAAGGTCTGAAAAGTTTGCAGTATCACATCTAAATTACAATGTACAAATGATACCTCTTTGTCATACACATCTTACAAACACAACAAATTGACACTTCACTCTTGCAAACTAAAAATTTAATACAATATTGCCTTGTAGACACAAGGGTTCATACCGGTCCTATAATATACACTTAATATGAAACAAAATACCACTTGAAAAGATTTAAGTAGTCTGAGTATGTCATATACCACATGATGACTTTAAATATTATAAATAATTAAAATTCTGAGACATAATCAGAAGATGCTTATAAATAAATGTACTAACCTAGCAGAGGATCATAGAGACTTGTGTGCTTGTTAAACTCTGGGAATATGTTGTGAAGGTAATAGGTCTTGAACTGATTAAATATGAAGTCAAAACTACTTTGTTTCTCATCCTTATTAGACCACTCAATGTTGTTCACCTGATAACGGAAATCAAAAGATACCTCGATAAATACAAGTTCTGTCATTATGTTGTTACACTGAATAAAGAGGATAAAGAGTG